TTCATGGGGAATTGGGTGTTCTTGGGTACAAATTAGGATTTTTGAGTTTTGGGGATTTGGACCTCAAATTGAGGTCGGATTTCAAAACCAATTGCATATTTGCGTTCGTGGGTGAATGAGTAATCGGGTTTTGGTTCGAACTTCGAGTTTTGACCAAGCGAGCCCGGGCTCGGGTTTTGACTTTTTTTGGGAAAACATTGGAAAATTCATATTCATGCATTAGAATTGATTTATTTAGCATTTATTGATGTTATTGAATTAATTATGGCTAGATACAAGTGGATTGGTGGTGGAATCGAGAGGTAAAACGGTGGTTGAGTGTTGAATTGTCCATTGGCTTGAGGTAAGTGTTTGGTCTAACCTTGACTTGAGTGAATAGGAATCCCCGCGTATGTGCTAAGTGAAATTTCATGTGCGTGGCGTATAGGTGTGGTGACGAGTACCTATGCGCCTCCAAATTCCCATTTTTAGCTTGTTTCCCTTCCCCGTTTCTTATTATACTATTTCTTGTCTTATTTTCTACTTGCTTAAACTGTTTCCATGCCTTAAATTGCTACTTGATCACAAATGTTCCATGTCTAATTGCCTCATGTTAACTGTTGTTCTCTTTATTGAATTATTTGATTGTTTCTTGTTAATTATTAATGTTCCGTTGAGGTATTATTGGTTTCGTAGCTTCATTTTATTACCCCGTTGGCTTATATGAATTCATTGGTGCCTTATGGTGCACGTTGGTTGGTCTCGCTCATTTGTTTTCATGAGTGAAGTTTCATAATCGTAGCGGTATCCTATTGTGTAGTTGAAGCATAAGAATTGTGGAAATTGAGTTAACTTGTGAAACACCTTGTATTTATTCTTTGTGATTGGTGTTGTTATATACATATGTTGGTATCGGGTTGCACGCCGCAACAAGGAGTAATAAGGGTGGACAGGTGGGATCGGGTTGCGCGCCGCAACAGGAGGAATAAGGGTGATATGTGTTGAAGAGTAATAAGGGAGGGCAGGTGGGATCGGGTTGCGCGCCGCAACAAGGAGGAATAAGGGAGAATATTGATACTGTTATTGTAGGAATATTGTTATTGTTATTGTTTATATGGTAGGATCGGGATGCACGCCGCATCAGTTATTGTTTTAGGCATTTATTTCTGTTGAAGTTATTATTGAGGTGTTGAAATTCCCTAAGGATTGGTTATAGCTGAATACTAGTAGACTGGTTGGGTCCTGTGTTCCTTTAACGCAAGTTCCGGTTATTTTTCATTCTGTACTTCTTTTCTGTTTATTATAAACTGTTGCAGGTTATATATATATATATATATATATATATGCCCCGCCGTAGTCTCGTCACTACTTCGTCGAGGTTAGGCTCGGCACTTACCAGTACATGGGGTCGGTTGTACTCATGCTACACGCTGCACTTTTTGTGCAGATCCCAGTGCTGGACCGTACGAGCCGTAGTTCGAGGTTGCTGCCTTCAGCCCAGTGGAGATCCGAGGTAGTCCTGCAGGCGTCCGCAGGCCTTGGCGTCCCCTTCTATCCTGTTTTCCTTTCTATTTTATCTATTCCGAGATAGATGTGTATTTCTTTGTTCAGACTATTATTTGTAGTATTCGTAGACCGTCCGTGAAATTGTGACACCAGTTCTGGGTGGAGTTTTATTATGATTTTGTAGTTGTATTAAGATAACTTATTAAATACTGTTATTCCATTTTTATTCCGCTGATTTACCTATGTTAACTTGTACAATGTTAAAAGATAAAAGGAAAAGATGAAATAATTGGTAACGTTGGCTTGTCTAATGAATACAACGTTAGGCGCCATCACGGTCCCGACGGTGGGAAATTCGGATCGTGACAACCGAATTTTCTATTTGTCATTTTATTATTTTTTTTTATGTTTTTCTTTTCTCAATTCTATTATTTTGTATGAGATCTCTAACAAGAACACTCAAAAAAGAGACTCCTAAACTTTAAATTTTAGTATAAAGTAAGCAATCCTCTTAATTAAATTTATGAGTTTTCTCCTTTCGAATCCAAAAAATATGGGTCTTAATGAGAATTTTGGATTGAGATCAAATTTTTTTTTCATCTCTTTTATTATATCATAAAAATTTATGTTATGCGATGGTTGTTGGATAAAATTTAAATCACTTTACTTTAATTTCTTAAACATTGCTTAAAAAATATGTGATTTATGATTTTGATTTGTGATAAATTTTAGTTTATCTGATTTATGCTTATGGGGTATAATTTATCTATGGATTTTTTTTTTAATTTTCTTATTTTAATTGATGTAATTCTCTTTTTGAATATGTTATCTTACTTGCGTAAATGAATTTTTAATATACATAAAAGATGTAATTTCCCAATGAAAATATTGATTTTACTTATGTTGTTATAATAAAGGTGTGATCCTATTTTAAAATTCTAATCACATTTGTTTTTTTAAATTTGAGATGTAATTTTTAAATTTTAAATACCTATTAGGTTGACCTAAATCAACTCAAAAAAATCGATTAAACGTTCCTAACAAATTTCACATTAGTCATCACAAATTATACATTAAAAAAAAATTATGGCACCCGCCAACTTTAAATCTTAGATCCGCCTCTGAGTACGGTATAAAATTAACAATGTATGGTAATAGTGCTTTAAAGAAATATTCTAATATTAAAAGTTAACAACATCTAGATATCGATTGAAGAAAGGATATTACGAAATAGTTGGATATTTATAAATGAATGTGATTGTTATTCATACAATAACCATGTCTCAATTCCAACAAGTTAGAGATGATTAATTCAGATTTATATCATGTAACATTAGAGGGGAACGTTCTCTATTAGAAATATATTCTCAAACTCTGACCCTAAGACCTTTAATTAACTGAAGAGGAATCTCATCAATCACACCACACTCATTAGTATTGATTCATTTATTATATTTTTCGGGCCTAAATATACTAGCAGGGCAAGATGGCCAAGGATAACTTTTTATGAACATTTATGTAGGGCTGTGCATAATTTGGTAAATACTGAATTACCGTACTGAAATTGAATATTTTGGTATTTGGTATTCGGTATGGTATTCGGTTTAATTTTTTAAAAAAAAAACTGGTATTAGGTATGGTATTTCTTATTTTAAAATGAAATACCGAAATACCGATACCGTACCAGAATATATATATTATATTGCACAATACACATATTATTAATTATAACATAAATATAAAAAATCTAAAATTTTGCTTTCCTTTATTCTCTAAGTTCATCAAGTAACTCAAAGCAAGTAACAAGACATTTCTAATGGTCAAATTTATTCCTTTATGTACAATTTTCTCTCTCTGGGTTGATATTTACTGGTTTTGGATAAACTTTTGTCAACAAACGTTTTTAGTTTTGTACTTTTGAGTACTTTAGTTAAGAATATTACATTCTATGACCCTACGCACAAATTAGTATTCAAACCGAATAAATCGAAGTTACCGAACCAATAAATCAAAACCGAAAGGAGAAAAATCGAATCATACCGATTTAATAGGCACGGTATTGGTATAGCATTTTAAGAAACCGAATATTGAAAATACCGAACCGAAATATCTAAATACCGTACCGTACCGACGGATGAACACCCCTACATTTATGTCCATTAGATTACCATTTTGTACGCTAGTTTCAATTACATTTTGTAAGTTTACTTGGCCTGATTTTTTCTTTTTCAAATGCTTGGCCTCATTAACCAATGAAAAGAACAAAAATAAAGGTAACAGGGGCTTTGAAGCTCATAGATAAATATACAATATAATAATTACTATTCGTAATATTTCTTTCATTGTTTTTCTATTACTAATAATATTATTTTCATTGTTAAAACCTTAATTGTACTATCTTGCAATAACTTGATTTACACGTTGTAGTTAAACTTAAAATTGGCAGGACCCTTCTTACAGCAAAGTTATGCCAATTTCATGCCTTATGTATTATTAATTTGCCTTCTAAAATGCTTTTTTTTTAAAACAAAAATTACTATGAATTTAGGGGTAAATTGAGTTTAAGGATTGAGAAGAACTAGCCTTTCTAATATCAAATCATAGAGCAATCAGCAACAAACTGCAGAGAACGGGAGCTACTTCCCGGTGAAAATAGCGCGGCCTAACGAGTTTTTGAATTGGTAATTAAAAAATAGTCAGCATTTGTAACGTCATTGAAAAATAGCCATTATTTTACTTAAACACAAAATGTTCCAGCGCGCCCTAACGAATTTTCGAATTAGTAATTGAAAAATAATCAGCATTTGTAACGTCATTGAAAAATAGCCATTATTTTACTTAAACACAAAATGTTCCAGCATAATATGCTGGATTATGGAGCTCTTGAGTATAAACATTCAGCATATTATGCTAGAACTCCCGTACATTATGCTGGAATCTCATATGTAAAAAATTCTAACTCCAACATATTATTTTTCCGAATTTCTAAGAGTTTTTTTTTTTTCCATTTATCTTTACATGAAAAGCGACTAAATTTCGATTACTTTTGAAACTATGACTATTTTTCAATTATCAGTTGTAAATCTGACTATTTCTGATTTTTTTTCACCTATTTCCCATTACATGCTTAAGTTTTCATCTTGAAACCTCGCGAATTTACAAAAAAAAAAAAAAAAAAAAAATGTATCTGCATCTAGTGTTTACACCAGATCACATTAACTTACCATGGTTCATTACTTCAGTAAGTAATAGAAGTGCATGTGATAAACATAGTATCATGCATATATTGACTTGATGTAAACACCACGTACGTACAAGTTTCCCCCCAGATTTTACTCTGATTTATATAGTTTGCAATCTACCAAGGCTATTCACCAACAAATAATTAGCATAAATTAGTATATGACATAATCATTCTGCAACTAATACAAGACAATTTCTTTCTTCTCAATCTCTCATTGTTTTAAATGACAAAATCCACCATCATTAGGCCATTCTGAAAACAGTTGTTAACCTCCATTCAAAGGCAAAATAAGATAAATAATTTTTCTGGTTTTTTTTTTCCAGTTTAATTCACATCAAGAATATAGAATACAATCTTCAGTCCTGTAAAAACCGAGTGAAAAAAATGGGGTGCTCGGGGGTGAGGCGGGAAGGGGGAGGGGGGGGGGGTGAGGGGATTTTTGAACATCTACCTAATACTTCTTTTCGAATATCAACTCGAACACAAAATTGCTCTTCTGAGTTGTGACTGATTATAGGTTCTCTTCCTCTACATCTTTTGCTCCTATATTTGCATCTGTTATCTATGAACTTTTCTTATACATGTACAAGAATATATTCCCTAATCTCTCTTTTTTCATTGTTGAACCAATTTAGCGCAACTTGAAAGTACCAAATACAAGTTACAACTGTTTGTAGAAGAGAACGTACGCTTGATCATGCAGCACCGAGCTTTTGGGGATGACAGTGACTGACACGTCATCATAACGCAGCCACTTGCCACTTGGATGACGGGCATCGGCCGTATAATGACCCTTTGAAGGGTCCCTTCCATGATGAGTGATCGTCGCAACGAGTTCATACCTCTTAACCTGTAGTAATAAAATGGAAATATACGCGTTACTAGATACACTCATCAACGCCAAACTTATAAGAACAAGGAGATAATCTCACCTCAGAAGAGGGAGAGGCAAGTAATTCACGTCCAAACACAAGCTCCAAAGGGAAGTGCACGGGTTTATGCAATTTGGTGCTCCCTTCACTTCCGTAGCTAAAGCGCATTAAATGCAACACCATTATATCAGAAAGCTCCAGAATCTTAACAGACTTGCTGGCACTGACTACTTCAGCCTGAGATATGATTAGTTGAGAAAATCATGAAGTATTCTCTAAGATATTTGCAAGATTTAACGTCCAAAGAGAAGACACTTCAGTCAGGGGTCTAAGTCCCCAACACGTAAAAAGCAATCTGCAAAAATTGGAAATAACTAGCCACAGATAACGAATTTAACAGCAATGTCAGAAAAAAAGGAAAGCATAGCCATCTGAAAAAATCACATTTTTGAATGCTGCTTCATGAAGGTAAGAAAAATTGTCGTTATCTTTCTAAAGGTATTACACTTACTGAAAACCTTATAATACATAACATCATGAACTCTGGTTTATATTGTCTATAACATACTCAAGCATAAATATAACCAGATCTCAAATTGTAATGATTCACTTGTTTTGTTGTATAAGATAATCACCCCACCTTTTAGTCTTAAATTTTGCGGAGAACATACCAGACATCTGAAGGAAAAAACAAAACAAAGAACCCACACAAGCGCACCTCCTAGACACGTCCTAATCTCAATTGTGCATCTAATGCTCACCATTTGTGCTCCTGAAATTTGTTACATTATCGAAAAACATAGCATGTTTAGGGACACTTTTGTAGTTTTTCACCACCTCGACAGTCCGCAGAAATTTCTTGAAAATGGCAGAACAAAAGTACCATAAGCATAATTGTTTCCTAGTTGACTTTTCCAGAAAAAGTAAGCACTAATCTGTTTTCTTTATGTCACTTAAAAACAGAAGAAAATAAATTAATTTTCTTCTTTTTAACCCTTTTAAGGGAAAAAAGTATATCCCAGAGTATGATCATATTCTTGTATACTAAAAAGGGTGTATCCCACAGAATGAGTACATACCTGTATGCTTAATCATCTAGAGATTCTAAAATTCATATAACATGATAGAGTACCTTTCCAGCTGCTGACGTTCGATATCCTTCAAGTGCCTCTGGTGCAGAAAACATCCGAAGTGCATCTTCTATTGAGCAAATAGGCTCTGGAAAAATGTTAAGGTGGAGCAGAAGAAATGGTTGTACTGTTGCTGAGGCTTTGTTACCTTGTTAAACCAATGAATAAGAGCTATTAGACAAATGGATAAGAGAGTCCCAACAGTAAACAACTTACATGAACAAAAGAGAAATAAGAAAATGTAGCGGATCAATGATCACCAGTGTCATTTCACTCAACCAAGATGAAATCCAAACACATAAGCAGATATATAACTAAATAAATACGAAGGTATTCTGATCTAATGCCATGCGTTCGGTTTACCTTTAGCCTTCACTACACTCTTCAATTGCCCTCCAAAAATTTCACTCAATTTTGACGGGACAAAGCTCTGTGTTCTAGTAACTGCAGTCCTATTCCTTGGGCCAACAGTCTCCCAATCATCATCCTCTTCCTCATCATCTGTTGATGAAACCACAGAGGAGTTTCTCCCGATACCATTTGGTACTTGACCCTCTAACTTTAGCAATTCATCATGCATCTGATGCATGAGAAAACTGAGGAACTCCTGAGCATCTTCCTGCCTGTAATTAGCCATTCCACCGTAAAAATACAGAAAATTAAATACAGAACACCGCTCCATCAAATTATTGAGTAAATTTCTCTTCAACCGCAGTTGCTAGGTGCAATTCAACTTAAAAAAAACTCATTTGGACATCTTTATAAAAGAATCCGGTTGAGAAAAACTGGAAACTGTTGCTCAGAGCACCAAAGAATAATCAAGTAAGAAACAAGATATAGCTTTTATGCTGTCAGTAACATACCTCGGTCTGCCTGTCAAGCTATTTGGGACATCCGGAGTAAAGTTTTGTAGGACAGATTCAAACATTAAAGGTCGAAAAGGCTGCCCAATTTCTGGAAGAATTGTTTCCTTTTTCTTCATGCTTGAATCACTGAATATGCCAAACTCAGATATGAACTGAATAAAGGCATGTAAAGTTGGATACCCAACCTGTAATAAGCAAAACCAAAATTTGAAATTTAAGATTGTAATAGGTTATAACTAAGAAGATATTTTTAATAAGTAGGTTATCACCATACCTGTGGTATATCACGTGTTTTGAGTTCTTGCAGGAGATGAACAAAAGGAGAGCACGAGAGGAGAGCCTGAAGAGTTGCATTAAGAAAGCACAAGTTCCCCAAGTTGACCAACCCTCGAGCTAACAAACTTCTGAAAACCACAGCAGACCCATTTAAAGATTTATGTCTACCATTCAGCAAGTTATAGTTTTTGAGTTGATTTGTCAAATTAATGTCTTCCACACTGTTAGACAATTCCGATAAGCTTGATTTCTCTGATGAATAAGCACTTCGGGTGTTTACTGTTGGATGTAATTCATGGAAAGTTTTCGAATCTGTCACACTCCTATTGTAATCAGGATTTGTAAAACTAGAACTACCATATTCCTTTATAGTTTTGCCTGCTGACTTTATGGTTTTCACTATACTGCTATGAACCTCGGAGACGTTCTCTTTATGAGCAAGCTCTGGTGGCTGAGGTTTCTTAGAATGATCAAGGTCGGTCAATTTAGTGTTGAAAAGGCCCACAGATTTCAGAGCTGCAGAATCCAAAGAACCAAATGTGATCCCTACATCAGTTGTTGTTGGCTGGCTTTGCAAAGTTTTAATTTCATCTTCCGTAAATGACCCAAAAATCAACACCTAATGAAAAAAAGAGAAAAAAAGTTGGTAAAACTAATACACCGGAGAAGAGATGCAAGAAGCAACATAACCAGAACACAATTTTGCTCAGTTTGAAGAAGATGTACTAATAGCATCAAAGCAATTTCATCTCAAATCAGTAGCTAATAAACAAACTAGTGGATTACCGAAAAGGAAAAAAAGAGAGAAAAAGCGCAAGCCAGTAAACTACTCACACAAGTATGACTACGAAGAACTTTAGGTCGGAGATATTGTAGAACTGGGAAGCTGTTGATTATAAGAGAGATGTTTTCAGAATAGAAACTTAATTGTCACCCAATCTACCAACAAATTGGAAGGCATGAAAGAGGGAAGAAAAAACGGAGGAATATAAGATGGACAGAACAATTGTGCAATCCAGTCTTAATAGTTTATGACAAAAACGAGAAATTGTCTTTCTACATTGTTCACATCCTAATTCCTCCGGACAATACAAAAACTAATTAACAATAAAAATAAATTCTCTTATCTAGAATCAAGATTACCTTGCTACACACTTTCTAATGTATTTAGAAACCATAAACACAGAACCACAGAACGCATGCGAAGCAACATAACCAGAACACAATTTTTGCTAGTGCAAAGATGTCCTAATAGCATCAAAGCAATTTCATATCAAATCAGTAACTAATAAACAACCTAGTGGATTCCCAAAGGATAAAAAGAACAAGCCAGTCAACTACTCACACAAGTATGACAGATTAGGTCAGAGATATTGTAGAAACTGTGAAGCTGTTGATTTCGAGAGAGATGTCGCATTGGTAGTCGAAGGAATTTTCAGAATAGAGAGTTAATTGTCACCTAATCTACCAAGAAATTGGAAGGCATAAAAGGGGGAAGGAACATAAAATGGACAGAACAATTTTGCAACTTAGTCTTAATAGTTCAAGGCAAAAATGAAAAAATGTCTTTCTACATTGTTCTTATCCTAATTCCTCCAGACAACAAAAGATAATTAACAATAAAAATAAATGCTCTTATCTAGAATCAAGATTACACTGCTAAACAATTTGTAACGTTTTTAAATAAGCCTAATTGTCCAAGTATATAATGAACTAGTTAAGTATTCACCAATAGTAGAAGATTTGCTCAGAGTTATTTATTCCATACAGTAATAGCTTTTGTCACCTAAAATCATAAAAGTAATTCAAATAATATAAAAGCAAAGCTCCATTGAACAGAAAAAAAAAAAGAACAACTATTAAGTTCATCTAAAATCTAAAACAAATGGTTGGTTATGTCCATTCTGTATTCACCAGCAGCAAACCAGCTCATTATCAAATAGATTACCTATGCAAGAACCTGCGTCATTTTAAATTGCAAACTTTGCTCTTTGTTGAGACATTTCTCAGAAATAGATACCAGATGACTGCAAATGCACCATTTACTTCTAGCTTTTTACAATTTTTTATCATTTCTCTAACACGACGAAGCTACCATATCCATACAGAACCTAGGTTAAGGGGAAAAAAGAATTTGTCATTGAACTTTTGTTTCTCTTTTTGCTTCTTTTTTTTTTTTTGGTGGTTGCTTTTTACCCCTCAATTAATCCACAAGACAGCCTGCTATAGCCCACAAGCACACAAGCAAAGGAGTAGTGTAAGCTTTTTTACAAATTTTCCACCATTTCTCTTAACACATGAAGCTATCGTACGGAATCAAGGTTAAACAAAAAATAAGATTTTTCAATTAAATCCACCGCTTCTCATTTTTTCTTGCTTCTATTTTTATATAGTGGTGTCCTGACCAGCTCGCGTGCACTTGACTAATGCATCATACAGCCTGCTACAACTCATAAGCAAGTCCACCAATGCCAGAGTAGATGTAGCATCACTCATTGCTGTAGCTGGGAATTCGAAGTGGGGATCTCCAAACTTTTTGTTCTTTCCTTTAAAATATAGTGTTAGCATCATTTCTAGCTACTCAAGATTTCCTCAATTTCTCTTCATTTCAATAACACCAAGCACAACCATATAAAACCCAAAAGAAAATCAGCAAAATTTTATCTTTTTCCCTTTCTTCTGAAAATTAGCATCAAAGTCTCCTAGCTAGTCAAGATTACCAAACCCCAACAAACAGCACATAACCCACCAAACAGATTTTTTTTATTAATTCTTGTTTTTGGCATAACTCTAAGTTGTTGTTATGTGACCAGGAGGTCAAGGCTCCAGCCATGGAAACAGTCTCTTGCAAAAATGCAGGGTAAGAATAGACCCTTGTCGCCGAGCCCTTCTAGGGACCCGCGCATAGCGGGAGCTTAATGCACCGGCTGCCTTTTTTTTGGGGGGTGTTTGGAATCATCGTAGTAAAATAGCATCAAAGCTCCCAACTCTTGAAAAACCCTTAGAAGGGTTAAAAAATCACACAACAAAATGTGGAATTATGTCAAAAAAAGGTCAAGTCTTCGAGTACCTTTTGGAAACATTTGCAGTAAAAAGGGCATCATATTTCCCAATTCTTAAAAACCCTTAAGAGGGTAGAAAAATCACACCTCAAAATGTAGAGTTATGCAAAAAAAAGTTCAAGTCTTTGAGTACCTTTTGATCATTCATCTTCCAAGATTGGACAAAACCCTCAAATGGAATCCATAGTGTAAGCAGTCAGAGAAGAGGGGTTGAATCTGGTGAAGCAGAGCACATGAAAAATGAGTAGAACAGAGCAAAGCAGCAGCAAAAATGGAAGAAGACATGAAAATACAGAGAAAAACAGTAATTTGAGCTCACAGAGTGAGATGGGTGGGGTGGGTTTAGGGGGTTAGTGGGGGTGGCGGGAGTTTTTAGGGTTTGGCCCTCTAAGGAAGAGAGTGGAGTGCAGGGGGTGGAGTGATTGAGGGGGGTGGGTGGGGTCTGGTCAGAGACTCAGAGATGCAAAATAGGAAATATTGCAGAGGTTTTTTTGAGGAAAAGGAAAAAAAATGACAGAAAGTGGACAATTATGTAAAAAATAATTGGGGGTTAAAGCATGTTTTTAGAAAGTTGGTGAAAAAAAAGAATGTGGGTGAAATAAATGAAAAAGGGTAAATGAAGCAAATGATGACAACATACAATGTTGAATAGAGTTTTATTTACATAATTGTGACGTATAATTTACATAAATTGAGACAATAGAGTATGCCTCAATTTATGTGATATTTTTCGTCACTGAAATTAAATTTGATTAATTTTCGTACAAATTAATTCAATATTTTAAAAGTTAAAAATTTAAATATTCAAAAACTATATAAAAAGTACTACTATAAGTTGTGATTATTTTCACATTAGTCCGATAAAAAAAATAATTTAAAATTTTAATCAAAGTTTACATAGTTTGAATATCGAAAAACAAAAAATATCACATAAATTCGGAAAGAAAGAGTAATACTCTACTCTTACAACACTAACTTAGATCAATCGAGCCAATAGATTTTTGTTGTCGCTACTGTGTTAAAACAGAAATTAGGAAAAACTGTTAGAAGAAATTGAAAAGCTGTAAACGATAAGAAATATTCCGAGTCCACAATTTTCTTGTGCGTCTTTAAAGAATTTTAACCCCCTCACAAGTTGCCAAGGTAATGGATTAAATCCTCCCAGGATGAAACGGAATAAACCTTCCTGCAACGGTGGCAATACAAACTGCAGGATACCAACGAACTCAAAGAACGGAACAAAATCACACTTCCGAATTTGAAAGAGAATCTGCGAAGTAGAATGCAGGATTTTCAGAAGGAAGTTCTATATTTTTCAGTGTGTGAAAAGGAAGTCATGCCTCGGAATTTATAGGCAATTGTCAGAAGAGGTGTGATGTCTGTTCATAATGTGAACAGATATTTGAAAGGAATAGGTGTCTGTTCAAAAGGGAAAACCAACGTTCAGCATTTTGGATTCCAGTTAATTCCGTTAATGTACTGACTGGCACTTAATTAATTCTTAAATAATTAATTAAATAAACTTTGTCAAAAAATTAATCTCATCGATCGATCATTTGACAAATTCGAATCCGAAGCCGAAGCCGAGCCGAGCGACGACGACGACGACGACGACGCGAGGCTTCATTCTCTTCAACTCCTTTAAGAGCTCTAAGAAGTGATCTTATATTTATACACACAAGTGTAGTTGTCCCTCACTAATGAGGGACAAAGTTCATTTGACAAAGCTCAGTTGATTCAAATTTTCTAAATTTTCATTTTCCTCCATTTTATTTCCCACCATTTCCCAATCCACACTTCTAGTCTTTAAAGCCCAATGGCTTAAAGTCCAACAATCCCCCACATGAATGGGAACGACTGTAACAAGAATGAACATAGATTTGACTGTAACAAGAAAGCCGTGTGATTTGCTGATCACGCCCAACTATGCCTTATAAAAAGGACTAAGCGGTCGCTGCAAATATAATCCGGTTTACAAGTCCGGAGTCGAATCCCACAGAGAACTAAGGTTTAGCTACAGCTGTTCACTATCACCAAGAAGACAATCTTGAACAATTCCTAACTTATAGATATTAAGATTCTTATGTTTAACTACTTAACTAACAAATTAAAATAGTAAATTAACAACTAACGATACTGAGGGTTAGATAAAAGATTAAGGAGGTCTAGAGTTATGATTTCCCCTATTGTCGGAATCCTTCCCGCTATGTCTTCTATAATTTCGCCTAAGTATTCTCTACCGATCATGAGCACTCTTATTACCGTAAATCTCTCCCGAGTAATTACGACAATTTACTAGACGCGCTCTCCCGAGCTACGCTAGCTGGCTTTTAATACAGCTCACTTCAGATCGCACCCAAGGCTTCGTTATCCCTAATCCCGCCTTTAAACCCTAGGTTATTGATCCCTCATATACTCTGGGAGTGGTATTGTTTAACAATTACCTAAATATGTACTCTCTCCCGAGTTATGCATACTAAATAGGCACAACTAATTGAGAGCCCTTCAATCAACCAGAATATAAACGTAGTTGAACAAATAGAGAAAAGCTATGGCTCAATTATATAAAAACATAACCAGAATTTATCCTACAAAAGGTTCTATCAAACTCTAGATAACAAATTAGCTATTCATAATAGTATGTAAAACTACAATACTAAAGGTCATAACCAACAATGAAAAGTAGGAAGAGGAAGGAAAAAACTCGTAGAAGAATTCTCCGCCTTGCTCCCAATGTGTTCTTGCCTCCAAGGGTGTTGTCTAACCCTAAAGTAGTGTCTCTCCGCCTCCTTAGGTCTAATTTGTGTCCAAAATATGTCCCCTCCTCTTCAAAATAGGTTTAGGACCCCTTTTATACAAGTTGGAATAGTGTAGGGCCGAAATAAACTTGTCCCGGGCGTAATAGGACTTCTTTTTGACGCCTGGAGGGGCGCGACCGCGGCCAAAACGCGGTAGGACCGCGGCCAGACAAGCTCTCTGATTTTCTGCCGCGGTCAGTTCCGCGGTCGCGGTTTCGACCGCATTTTTCACCCTGTTCCATTTGGAATTTGAAAAAACGTAAAACATGAAAGTTGTAGCCCTTTGAGTTATCTTTCCAACCATATATTGTGGAGCCTAAATTGAGTTCTGAGAAAAAAGTTATGTCTATTTTACTAGACAGTGCGCAATATGCCTCCTCAAGTCTTCGTTCGTACTTAATTATCAAATTTGACCAACGAACACGATCCCGGCTTAATTCCTTGAGATTTTACTCAGACTCTAAAGCTTCAAATCACTTAAATTTATTCCATAACATCTATATAGCTCGAAATCACACCTACAAGGCATAAAACACACAATTAGTGCAAAACACTAGCGATTAAAGCGCAAACTCAATTAAAGTGAAATAAATTAGAGTGTAATAATCGACTAAAATACGTAATTATAGCCTATCATCATTTGCAAGTAAGGATTAATTGCATATGGATAAGTAGGTTTCCCTTTGAACTTTCCGTAGTGAGCATATGTCGGATATACTCGGTCAATCGGTAGATTTGATATCTTTGAACCGTCGAACTTTAGTGTATACCTAGACAACCATATATCACACAACCAACCCTTAACCGTCTTTTGGTTCTCATTGTTGTGTTCGTTTCAGCCATGAACACCGCCTGGTTTCATAAGTGCGTAGAGAATTGGCCTTACAGAATTCTCACTGAAGCGGCTTCCACTTCACACTTACATAGGTGATTCCTAAATGTGTAATCCTTTAGATTGACACTATTTGATAAATACCACATCAAACTTAGGTAATCATTAAAGAACGTGTAAACTTTTATCCTTGTTACTGAACATTGTCTTCATGTTGAGAAGGGACCTTAGATTTTACTTTGACAATGTGAACCGGTCAATCACAACTTTGTTTGAGCTCCTTGAACCTAGATCTCGGAATATCAAAAATACTAGGTAGAGTTATCGCTATGACGACTTGTCCTCGGCCATAGTCCCATTCCCTTAGATGATTTCTCAACTCCCTCTCTAGTTAGGCCTTTTGTAAGCGGATCCGCCACATTATCCTTTGATCTTACATAATCAATAGTGATAATTCCACTAGAGAGTAATTGTCTAACGATTTTATGTCTTCATCGTATATGACGAGATTTTCCGTAATACATAACGCTCCCTGCTCGTCCTATTGCAGCCTCACTATCGCAATGTATGCATATAGGAGGCAAAGGTTTTGGCCAGAACGGAATGTCTTCTAAGAAATTTCGAAGCCATTCAGCTTCTTCGCCAGCCTTATCCAAAGCTATAAACTCTGATTCCATTATAGAGCGAGCGATGCACGTCTGTTTGGAAGACTTCCAAGATACTGATCCTCCACCAACAGTAAAAACATATCCACTTGTGGACTTTGTTTCTGTTGAGCCGGTTATCCAATTTGCATCACTATATCCTTCGATTACCGCAGGATATTTATTGTAGTGCAAAGCGTAGTCTTGGGTATATTCCAAATATCCCAAAACTCGTTTCATTGCCACCCAGTGATGTTTGTTGGGATTACTTGTGAATCGACTAAGTTTACTTATTGCACAAGCTATATCAGGACGTGTACAGTTCATGATATACATTAAGCTTCCCAACACACGAGCATAATCCAATTGAGACGTGCTTTCACCTTTATTCTTTACAAGATGAAGGTTTAAGTCAATTGGAGTTCTTGCACTTCTAAATTCCAAGTGTTTGAATTTGTCAAGTACCATTTTCACATAATGTGATTGAGACAAAGCCAGACCCTAAGGAGTCCTCTGGATTTTAATTCCTAGAATTACATCAGCAACTCCTAAGTCTTTCATATCAAACTTACTAGCAACCATACACTTAGTAGCTTGAATGCCGGCAACGTCTTTGCTCATTATTAGTATATCATCAACATATAAGCAAACAATGACTATATGATTTGGAACGTTCTTAATGTAAACACATTTATCACATTCATTAATCTTAAAGCCATTTGACAACATTGTTTGGTCAAATTTCGCATGCCATTGCTTCTTCTCGGATTTTCCTCATTAGGCATACCATCTGTTGTTTCCTCCCGAGGTCGTTTTGACTTTTGGTAGGACAATTAACTTTCCTTTTTATATGGATAAATAGTTTCAAAGAATTCAGCATTATCTGATTCTATTATCGTATTAACGTGGATCTCAGGATTTTCTGATTTATGAACCAGAAAACGATATGCCTTGCTATTGGTTACATATCCAATAAATACACAATCAACCGTTTTTTGGACCTATCTTAACCCTTTTAGGTTTAGGAACTTGTACCTTAGCTAAACACTCCCACACTTTGAAGTATTTCAAGCTGGGCTTCCTTCATTTCCATTTTTCATAAGGAATGGATTGTGTTTTACTATGAGGTACACATTTGATTATTCGGTTAGCTGTAAGTATAGCTTCCCCCCAC